ATCGCCATTGGCAAAAGTGTATCGATGCACAAGGGATGTATTTTGAAGAATTTTGAGGCATTGTAGCAATATCTGAAATAAATCTATTTTCCCGGAACTTTTCCCGATACTTTTTATACGGACCTTGTATGTATTAACAGTCTTCAAGTGCATACAATCCCATCTACCACTTCTACATTACATGTTTTGGCAGTATGCTGACATCTTCAGGCGTATCAATCTGTCAATTATTTCACTGCTTGCCTTTATATGTCCATTTACAAATAATATTAAATTTGTATATGTCCATATATAATAATAAAGTTTATGTAGTTAAAACTTATTAAAACCTATTATCTCATGTCATATTTTAAATTCGTGTGTATTATTAATCATCCACATGGGGGTCATTCTTCGTATGTTTCTAATGTTGTGTGTATATTGTCTCTTATTATGTGTTCCACTCTTGTGGCTGCGTGCGATACAATACAAGCCAGAATTCAGGGCAGACCACAGAGAAAATACCAGATTTAGCAATTTGACACATTATTTTCTACGCAATCCATGTTGTATCAAAAGGAAAGGAGGCAGTTCTTCACAGAACTTTGTGGCTTCTTATCTAAAGCGTTTCTTGGTGAGTTATGGAGTGGTATCATTAATTTTAATGTGCATTTGTTGTTAGTCTGAAGTACAGTACCCCACAACAGTCTGGTTACCTTAATATCTAATGTATCTACTTACAAACTTGTACTGTGTTTCAGGGAGCTCCAGCATCAATAAATCGAGGGCTCTCGCCAGCATTGATGGAGTCGACTTTGTATTCTTCAGCGGTGCAAATTTGTCTGAAGGTGAAGTAACAAATTATGGAGATTTCTGTTAATTGTGAATTGAACACTCTTGTCAGTTTCATTATATCATGATTTTATTTTACTCTGTCTTCATAAATGTCAAGATGACTGCCAAACGAAATGCCTTTCAGGATTTTAACCCCCTATACTTGACAAGGAATTGATGTAAAAAACATCTTCATTATGTTTTCTGTAGTTTTTATTTTGTTTGAATTCAACAGGGGCAGAACCAAACAACAAAGACAAGCAGAATAACTCACAATATGTCTTTTGGGAGACTGTGGATAAGAAATCGGCCAATAAGACAGCTACAGCTTATGTAGCAAGTCTGAGAGTCAACCACAGTAGCAGTGTGGCAGGACGCTTCATTATCGGACAAATGCAGCTCCCCATAGCAAACAGCTGCAGGGTTGCCAATGCAAGTTTTAAAGCATTTGACTATGTGAACAGCACAGGTATATTCCATGAACATAGATTTATTGATTATAATCAATATAATAACTGAAACATCACCATTAAATAACATAATAATTATTATGTTATTTAATGGTGATGTTTCAGTTACAAACTCTGAGTTTGCTGATTTGGCGGTCATTGAAATTTTACTTGAAATGTGAGAAAACCCATATTTGCAGAACATGAAATTGGGATGGCCCTTGTGGCCTCCTACAGGGATAGCTTTACCTTTAGCTTTAGGTGTTACATTAATGTGAGGCAGTACATGCTTCAGAAAATTATCTGAGGCAGTATCAGGAAGCCTCTTTGGGTACTGACTTCTGCAACAAGATGCATACCCAGTAACAAGCACTGACTGTCCCCATGTCACCGGAGGGATGTATTCTGGAAAATCTGTCCACACTGAAATTCCATAATATTAACCATAATTTTTTTCATTGATTCACAAGTTATGAGTGAAGATTCATTCCTACAGAAATGTTTTGGCACACAGTTGTAATAAAACTGCTGTACCCATCAGAAATCGTCATATATGCACAGACATTGTGAAGTGTAAAGTAAAATGTGAATACACTGCCAGTCATCCCCTTCATGTCAGTAACAGAATAATTGAACCTTTCAGCTGATAAACGTGCTTTGGATCTTATCAAGCTTGAACTCAGGATACTTCAAAAGCAGAATGAGTCTCTTACAAAGAACAACAAGAACTTGACAGCAGAGAGAGACCTGTGCTGTCATTCAGAATGTTCGCTTGGGAATCTCATCACAGATGCCATGGTGGCAGCCCTGCAAGGTGATGGTACTTGGAGTAAGAATGGTACAAGAATAGGAATGTACCCTGCAAAGTATCTTAAACCAAACAGCACCATACCTGAAGGTACGTATGCAAAGACAGATGGATTTTATAGTATGCATTCGTCATAAATTTACTGTTGAGATTCGTGATGTACTTCTTAACGTTTTTAGGTTGTGTGTATGAGGAAATCTTGAAACTACAGAAAATTTATCTGTGAGATCGTTCATATCCCAGAGTTTTCACACAATACAGATTGGGAATTACTTTCTTACATGAACTGTTACTTAAGTATTCATGTCCTTAGGTTTCATGACATGTGACTGATGTGTACCTATAGCTTTCAGGGTTTATTCTTGTCGCATGTTGAAGTTTTTCAGATATTTCAGCATGTATTACAGCGTTAAGACTGTGAAGGTCCTGATTACAGTGTATGATGAAACATTGGACCAGTTTCTGCATAAGATGTGACTAAAATTGAAAACTGAAGTTACAGTCACACACTCCTAATTACACAAGTTCTAGTTCCTTTATTCCCAGTTACAAAGCATGACAACAAAAAATGTTAAATTATGTTTTTTTTCCCACAGGCAACCTGACAGAACTGGATATTTATGGACTTATTGAAAACGATGCATACATCTACAGTGTTCTACTGACAGGACAGCAACTAAAAGACACACTTGAGATCTCCATTAACAGCATTAATAATTCAAATTCAACTGACTTCCTGCATGTATCTGGTAAGTAATGTACACTTCTATGCATTCTTTGTATAAAATGCATAAAGTTAATACATATTGGGGAGGTTATGTCTGTCCAGATTTGTTTTTAATCCCTAAAGGTGATATTGTATTTCAGAATTCTTTTGCACAAGTTAATTTAATTTGTATGGACAGTCTTAAAGGTGTAACATCTTGTTGTGCTTGTAGAGTGTTGGTGTGGTATGCTGTGACTGTTATATAAATGTCACTTCTACATAATGTTTTGACCTTATATAGTCATCATCAGGTAGATACTTTTATGTGGTTGTTTCAATATGCTGTATTGCTGTAAAGTAGCATTTGACTGTCACAAATATTAAATTTTATTTGAAAAGTTTTTGATATGACGGTTGTTTCACAAAGTACAGAGAGGTATAATTTATTGCTAGTAATGATATCTGCAATTTGTAAAGCTTTGCAGCAGTAGTTTATGTCGACAGTAAATGAAAATCAGCATTAGGGTCTTATGCAGAATTACAAAGAACACAAATAGAAAATAAGTCTCAGAATTACTGGGATTTTGGACTTCATCCAACGTCCAGTATTCTAGAAACTAGAAAACCCAATGTTTCAGAAACTGGATCTGTTTCCATCCCCTGATGAGGGGTTGGGGAGGAGGGGAAGACACCTACTCTGTTGGATTGTTTAGAAAGAGTTAACCTCAATCACTGGAGGTCCATCTTTATGTGAGTAGGGGAAGTCATCTACTCTTTTGGATCCCTTGGAAAGAGCTAACCTCAATCACTGGAGGTAATGTTTTCTAGTTCTAGAATACTGGACCATGGACGAAGTCCAAAAACCCTGTAATTCTGAATATTATACACCATTGCCAGAACCCTTTAGAATCTACTAGAAAATAAGTGTTCTGAAATTGAAGTACAACTTTACACCTTTGTTTAATATGTAACTTACAATACAGGGTCTTGGTTGAGCTATTGATAGTTAGGAAAATTACCTACTTTTGTTCTCAGGAATCAAATCATGGCCATATAGTTCATAGCATATCAGTTTTCTGTCTGACCTGTTATGACGCATATTATTTTCAGTGTATACATTTTCTGTCATATTGGATTTTAGGTTCTTGTGGCAGTGACTATGAATAGTACAACAATTGTGTTGTAACATTATGCAGTTTGGTAGAAATCCCATGATATTTTGGAGGGTTCTGCTTGTTGCTGGTTTCTTGCTTGGCTTACTCTTCACCTCTTCAACCCTGAAGATGGAGGCAGTATACTCCACTGAAATGCCAGTGGACGTATACCAAATTACACAGCATAGAAACCTGGAAGATGACACTTCACAGCCATACCATTTCATCAAGCCCAAATTTAAATGTAGACACAGATTGTTTTAGTGTTTTGTCTTATCAACAGGTGGCAGCCATATGCCCTTCTGTGTTCGCCCGTGACCAGAGAATATGTTCTATTTGCCAGAAGATATGAAACAAAAGCAAAAGCACTAAAACAACAGGGATCTCCTTCCATTTAAATGCAGCTGCGAGGGTGGACAGGGTGCCACTTAAAAAGAAGTCTACAGAGGTTTAATTTTGGTGTTTCTTCCTTTCAGGCTTTTTACAGATAGAGTACAGACAGGAACCCAAGAACAGCTCAAAGATAGCTGCAATAAAAACAGTTTCAGCTGCCTCAGCATCCATGCTTTTGAGTAAGATAAATGTGAGCGATGCTACAGCATTTTACAACGTGTCAGTACCACTCACGCTTTTGAAAATGGACAGCTACAAGAAATTAGTGGGTGCATTAAATGCCTCATTTCACTGTAAGTACACAGTTTAAAGCCATATTCCACTCGTTCTTTATACAGTGCAGGATATCAGAGTAGCTGACAGGAAATAATATACTTTGATTCTTGTGTTGGATTGCAAATAGTAATAGTAATACACACGTAGTAAAGAATAACAGTGGCACGCACACAGGAAGACTACACAGGATAACACCTATACAGTGTGGAAACAAGAACTAGCCGCTGCAGCACTTTAGACATAGGGCAAGTGACCCTAACAATTTAAAATTTAAAATTTAGAGAAAATAATTTTAAAGGATTTTAAAAGTAGAACTAAAGATTTTATAGTGCTACTACAGGTACGACAAAATTTATGTGTGTAAAATAATCTACAAACCAGACAGATATCAACGAAGTAGATGTTGATAATAACAAGGAAAGTGTTAAGTGTTAAATTTTGGGCTGGGTGCAGTGTGACAGCAACGTGAGTGTTATACACATGATGATGGCCGTCTGAGGCCGAAACATGTAGTGTAGAGGAACAAGATCAAGGACACATAATATATTGTTTGCACTTGGGACAGAATTTGTATCATTATATCATTTATCATATGGAGTGCAACAGGATGCTTAAATATAATATTGTAATAGATTCTGTTATTTATTTCAGTGGTGACAACTGTTGAGGCTGTGACAAGTTACATAAACAGTACAGTCATCCTGCCCCTTCCTGCAGTCGGTGGTCGTTTAGTACTGTTGGAGTCAAGTCCAGTGCTACCACCTCTCGTTCCCTGTAAAGACCACACAGCAACCATTGTTATAGGTAGAATTTCATATTTTATGTACTTACTACTCTCAAGTTATATTTCACTTTGAAGTAGCAAAGTTCACATTTGAATCTGTTTTTCATTATCATTCTTTCCAGTATTAGATCTGTATAAGATCTTTTACAGATATTATGAAACAGAATCCTTTCATCTTTCAGAGGCCTTCCCAGACTTCCCCCCCCCCAATCAATATTTTAAAATCCCCTACCCCTTTTTAGTTTTGTCAGAGCTCATACTGTCACATGTTCTTTTCCGTATCTTTCTATTGAATGTATAGTTTTATTTTAGGACTCTGTAGTTCAGTCAAAATTTCTCTTTTTATATGTGAAAGGGTGCATGCTGCATTCTTATGAAATGCATTTCTGCTGATATATAGTCTCCTCTCATCTGTTCCCCTTACTGTCCACGATTCACTACCATAAGATAACGTTGGTCTGGCAAGTGTCCTTATAAACTCATATTCTTCTGTGCCCATAAAGTAATGATGGTATGAAGGTCTTAATTTTAAATTACAGTATTTTGACAAAACTCATAACTTTTACTTTCGGTTCCTTTTGTCTGGTATGGGATATATAAACTAACTTCATGGAGCTGAGCCTTTCTTGAGAAGTCACCAGTTGTGCAGCTACTCAAACACTTCCCAGAATTTTATGAACTTGAAGAGCCCTCCACCGGTCCCTATCCTGAGCTAGATTGATCCAGTCTGTACCACACCATCCTATCTCTAAGATACTATTTTAATATTGTCCGCCCACCTACATCTTGGTCTTCTTAGTGGTTTCTCTCCCTTTCTGGCTTTCCAACCAGTATCCTATATGCATTCCTCTTCTTCCTCATTTGTGCTACATGCCCTGCCCATCTCATCCTCCTTGACTTGATCATTCTAATTATACTTGGCGAAAAGTACAAGTTATGAAGCCCCTCATTATGCAGTTTTCTCCAGCCTCCCATCCCTTCATCTCTCTTTGGTCCCAATATTCTCAAAACACCCTCAGTCGGTGTTCCTCCCTTAATGTCAGAGACCCAAGTTTTGAACCCATACCAATGGGATGTGTTATGTTCCAAGTAATTAAAAGAATTTATTCCAACGTTCCATAATTTTTTAATACATGTATGTGTCTTTCTGTTGCAGTGACGCTGATAGTTGCAGCATTAGTAGTAGGCCTTGTTTATGGCATATGGAGGTATGTGTTTAGGAGATACAGACCTCGAAGTGGCTCTGCCTTGCATATGATTAGCTTAGACTAGCAACTGACACACTGATAGAGTGATGGCATCGAAATAACTATAGATCAGGAACTGTAACAAGTCTGATGTCCAGGTCATAAGAACTAGGGTTGAGTTTAGGTTATGGCACATTCTTATTACTGATAATTGAAGTCAGACATTTTCTAGTCACATTATTTTAGTCAGTGATTGATAGTGCAATACCAATTTGAGAGGGCAGCTGAAAAATCAGTATAAACAATTTAATTTGAGTAGACACTATAGGGTTCTGACGATGGTGTATAACACACAGAGATACTGGGATTTCGGACTTTGTCCATCGTCCGGATTCTAAATAACTAAGAAAAAGGAAACCACAACGTTTTGGAAACTGGATTTGTTTCCATCCTCATGTGAGGGAAGACACCTGCTCTGTTGGGTCCCTTAGAAAGAGCTAGCCTTAATCACTAGGTCCAGTCCCTCACCTGAGGACAGAAGAAAGAGACCCAGTTTCCGAAACATTGTTTTTTTCCTTAGTTATTTAGAATCTGGACGATGGATAAAGGCCAAAATCCCAGTATTTCTATGCAAATTTATTTTAATATCAAGGGTGCACAAAGTGACTACGCAGTGCATATCAACCGTACATCTTTTACTCCGTTGACATACGTGAATGTCAGAGGCATCAGTGCAAATATACTAAAAAAAAATGGTTTTACTCTAGGTTGTTACTGCTGCCATCTGTTAGTGATGGATAATACTGTATGGTTCAGTAAATTATGTAGGCTGCATGTGAAACCAGTGAGAGTGGTTTGTTAGTGGTTCATAGTGTTAATGACTTTCCTCAGGTTGGTTTCCTAAGGCAGGCTGAGTGAAGTGAGAAAGACTGCAGGTGTATTAATGGCTTGAAAATATCCCCCCCCCC